GGTGTGTCTCCCAAAAATAAACACAGTCTGTATGTTCTGTGAAGTAAGTTGTGAGCACAGAGGTGCTTCAACATGGCACAAATTAGTATCAGAGAAGCCAGAGGTAAAAATAAATAAATAAATAAAAACACCCCATACATTTTTTTAATGACAGTAAGCGGTTTCAATTCAATTCAATTCAATTTTATTTATATAGCGCCAAATCACAACAACAGTTATCTCACAGCGCTTTTCATAAAAGAGCAGGTCTAGACCGTACTCTATGAGTTTTGTAGATCTTTAGAGGTTTGTAGATCTTTAGAGTAGTGGTTCTTCTGCCTCCTGTAGGTGTCACAGATAAACATGGTGCAGTGCTGTCATTGGGGTTTGGGTGAATGCTAATCCGTAATAACAGAGTTATGGGGTAGTTGCATAATCTGTCGGGTATATGCATTTAGCCATCTCTAGTTTATTTGTATTGCTCAGTATTATGCGCAATACCTCACTCAATGAGCTTTGCATGCTCACATCAGTAATAGTTCCCAACCCAGAAAATGTCTGTAAAGAATAGAAAAACAATGAATGTTGTGCCACTTAATAGTATTACAAAATGCTATAATGTGATTGCAATCCAACAATAGGATTAATATAATAACCCTTAAACTAATATTGTAAATTAAGTATTAAGAAATCCAGCAAAACAAGTCAAAAAAATTACTTGAAGCTGCTGGCGCAGAATTCTGCTTGTCCAGGGCATTTTGCTGCATAAAGCTTGAGGCGCAGGTTGGGTACAGGTTCTGCTAATATTTTAAAATGTAATTTATGAAGAAGTCTCTCACTTCCATGTTGCAAGTAGATACACAATGCCCGGTGGGAAGAAGGAATTAAACAGAATGTAGCCAAGTTTTGCAACAGCCCTCGAGCTACAAGTCAGTAATGGGCCTGGTTCACTTCTCAAATTTGTCAATATTGGGGCTGTGTTTTAGGTTCCTGCAGTATTCCTGCAAAGTATTTCCTGGTTTTGTATATTCATCTGAATAAAAGATAATGAACTGCACCTACCTTAGTGAGGAAAGACTCTACAGTTTGCCTCTCATTCACAAATTTACACACGCCATTCAAGGCATCGCGAGCAGCAGGAGCCAGGGATTGGGCCACCCTGGTCTCCTGAGCCACAGCAGCACAGTCCACTTTATGTCAAGTACAATTCACTAATTTGATATAGCAGAATAGATTGTTACACAAAGCAAAACAGAAACAGAGAAAGTACAATATTGCATTAGTCTCCTGTTGATTACGTCCTTGGCACCCATAGTGGAAATCAGCAAAAACATATTATATTATTAAAGACTATTATAATGAAAAGTATTCTTTGAAATGTAAATTTGTAAAATGTGCCATCATTAAAAAAGGGCCTGTCTATAATAGTAACCTTTGCTGCAAAGTATGCCTTTAGTCATTTCTGTTGTTTGTTTGTTTCTTCATTCAATTCATCCATCCATCATCTACCGCTTATCCTGCGTACAGGGTCGTGGGGGGCTGGAGCCAACCCCAGCTGACATCGGGCGAAAGGCGGGGTACACCCTGAACAGGTCGCCAGTCCATCACAGGGCCACACATAGACAAAGAACTACTCACACCTAAGGACAATTTTGGAGACACCAACTAACCTAGCCTACATGTCTTTGGATGGTGGGAGGAAGCCAGAGCACCCGGAGAACATGCAAACTCCATACAAAAAGGCCAGGGCAACCGGGGTTTGAACCCACTAACTTCTTGCTGTGAGGTGACAGTACTAACCACTGCACCACCGCACTGCCTCTCATTATGTTATTTCTGTTTATTTTCTCATTGAAATTACACACTTTCTGTGTCACTGTCTGCTTTGTTTACTGTGAAACAATGTATTGTACCACATTTAATAAAATTAATTCTATTGAACACAAAGTGGAGGGTGCCTACATTGCAGAGAAAAGTTTAACCCTTCCCTAAAATTATTCATCTCTATCTTGACACAAGGCAACAGTCAGGTTATGGATATGGGAAAACTCAGTCACACTGAGTCTCTAATATTTCATTAGTCAACTATGTTGTCCACACTAATTTATAGCGGAGCAGGAAATTTGCAAACCAGATCCATGCATGAAAATCCATCCAAGTTGCTGCATCAGTGCTGAATAGAGGCATAGTTGAGGTTTTTTATTCAATCTAAAAATAGAGCGTTAAACAAACAAGAATAATTTAACTAGGGCAAAAAAACAGTTTATTTAAGAAGTAATTTGTCTGGTTGATGGCATAACTTTATACACTGAAGCTGAGTATATGTTTACCATTTCTACTGCAAAGGTGTAAATAGTAGTAGAGATCTGTATACATATGGATTTGATTTATGGATTTGTACAAAGCATATGATATATGTGGTATTGTGTGATACCTCGAGGGTCATATTTCTAGACAGAGACAAAACACCCCGTCTTCTTTTTAACTTTTTTTCCAGCTGACATGCTTTAGAAGTCCCACAGCAACAAGTGCAACGTGATAAATTAAAATATGTCTGACTGATGAGGGTTTGTGGTGGGGTGTAACAGGATGGGGTTCCCACAGCTGGCCACCATCACTCTCAGGTCTATTGCTTCTCGTTTTCCAGCTCCAGTTGTGTCTCTTTTCAACTCCTGTTCCTCTGTCTTTATACATAAAACTAAGTGAGTTGGGACAGGGTGGTCCCCTTCTTTCTACGTGGGATGCAGGCAGATGGGAGAGGCCAGGGGTGGATTGGTTGATTTGCTTATGTGTTAGCTGCTGCTGTGCCGGATGGTTTCCTCATGTGCACCACACATGATCCAGAGCTGGTATCCGGGCCTGCAGCCAGCTTTCCCCCACTGATTTCTCACACTGCTGAGACCTGTATGAAAACACTGATAAAACAGAAATACAAACACTAAAACATGATAGAGATCTTGGTAGAAATAGTAGAAAGTTTCCAGTTTGTTCTGCAGCTGTTTGTGTGTGCATGCAGTGTTGCATTCCTCTGTGTCTTGTATATTTACTTGTCAGGTGTTTCAACATCACAATGAGAAGTTCAACTATTTGAAGCATGTTGAAAGACTTTCACAGACTCCCTCCTTTTTCCAAAATGCCCTTTTCCAAAAATATCCTCCATCAGGACGTCAGCTCATGTTGTGCACAGATGAGGTAGCCAAAGTCCAAGATGTGTCAGTTCAGATGTGTCAGTGTTTCAGCATTTTGATTTCACTACAACCTGCGCTGGTTGTACTGGGGAACACTGAGTTAGAGGTGCGACATGTAGTGTTTTATGTTTTAAAAATGAAAGCCACATTTCTCATAAATGTTTGCTTTCTCACGTAACATAGCTATTTCTCTCCCTCCCTGTTGTCACTTTGGTTATCTGAAAGAGAAAATTTTTGTAGAATTTAATGGATTATATATGTTCTCAAAGAACCATATGTTTTTAAAAACAATTGGAAAGCTGTGGTAAATTCAACCGCAGATTTACAATTAGGATTGTTCTGAACGTACAGTGTTTTGTAAAATAAGTGTCAAAAATGGGATTGAAATAACACAGAATCTGTTGCTTTGACGCTTTTTGGTGTTTAAGATATAAGATATTATAATTATAGGGAGTGACTATTTGACAAAAAATAGATATTTGGGGGAGTGTAGTTTTGGTATAGTTCAAAATGGCTTCCTTTTGCACCATGTAAATTTCAACATAGCAGGTGCTGTGCAGATGGAGGCTGTCGACACTCTTGGTTACATTTTAGTTAGTTCATGTAAGTCTGCTAATAATGGTCACTAATAAAAGCATCTAGTAATAAAGGAGCACCACAACAGCAAAAATCTTCATCTTCTTATAGCTGAAGGTGACGTTTCTTAATAAGTTGAGTCTGTGGCGTAGTCGTGTTTGAGTTTTATCGCCCTGAACATTTTTTTAATATGTCTTTCCTTTTCCTACAATGGGCATGTCTGTTTCCTTTTATCAATTGAAAAACATCTTTTTATCTGCTATTTTAGCTGACTCGCAGTCTTGATTAATCTTGACAGAGGGAAAAACGTACTTTGATTAGTGTCTCCATATAAGTGCTCCCTGCTGATCAAATTAAAATTCTGCGGTCTATCTGTCACCCCCATCTCAGTCTGGTTTGCTGCATTCAGGCCATCATATAGAAACCAATCAAGGAGGGAAGAACAGTACAGAAACATTTCACTCTGCTTCTTTTTTTTTTTTTGCTTTTTCTGTCGCACTTGTCTACAAAACCGGTCAAGTAGAAACTGAAGTACTGTTGTTTTTCTACAGACATTTGTACTGTATTTTGTGATGTTCTTCCTCTCAAGTCCTTTCTGTTTCTGTGGGAGATTTATCACTGAGGATTCATCTCTGACACGTAGCAGGAAGAAAGCCCTGTTGGACCCCAGAATGTTTAAGTGGTGATAAGACTGCAGGGAAACACACTCTGGTCCAATGGACACACATATGGTCCCGCTTTTGACTGTGGTTTGGCTGCTGGTCTGCCACTCCATACTTTATGGTTTCAGCTTTTTATTTTCATTTTCTTGAGGTCATTTTCACAAATGCTCTTGGGTGTTGTGTAAAGAGTGGGAAAAAATACTAAAGTGCATTTCTTAAGCCTAGCATCAAGTCTGTGTAACATATTGTCAAGATTTCCTCGGAAGAATATGGTCTGTGCAGTCAACTTTGGGAATAATTTGAATAATTTAAAATGTTTTTCTATGAGAGTACAAGCTCCCTGAGGTTTCACAAACCGTCTTATGATGTCTATATGTGTCGACCTTAAACCCATTATTGGATTAACGTAATAGTTCAACATTTTGCTTGCAAGAGTTAAATTAAAAGATTGACAACACTCTGTAATCTCAGACAGATAGAGACAGAGAGTGCTCATCTAACTCTCAGCAAGCAAAATTTTCCCAAAATGTGAAACTATTCCTTGTAAACATGTAAACATAGCCAGTATTAGCAATAAAGACAAATTGGACACATAATGCAATGACACCTCTTTTTATTGTATCATAGATGCTCATTTCATTTGCACACTTTTTTTTTTGATTTTATGGTGTATTTTTGTATCTTGTATCAACTCTAAGAAATTCACATTTACACAATGCATTTTACATTAGTAGGTAAGTACAGGTGACATTCAGCTTTTTTAGGAGCAGGTCCTGATCTGTCTGTATCAAGTTTGTAATAATATCACAGAGTATCATATTACATGTATTGTCGCCTCTGAAATGGAGGTACATGATGAAACTTACTGTACATGCAAAACTGTGCACAGTAGAACTGATTTCTATTGACTAATAGCATAACGTGAGTTTTAGAGTAGAAGTCTTAGGTGACATGTATATGTTTTTGTAATGCTACATGACCCTATAAGTTCCCAGTATTTATAGCATGTTAACATGGTCATTGGCAGCCTATTTGTACTGTAAGTCTCTTTATATTGGTGCCAGGTTTTTACAGTTTGCTTGAGTCTCCAAGGTTGATCTATAGCGCTGACTTCTGTTTACTAAAAACCTTCATTAGTTCTCAAAATATCAAAGAAATGCACGTAAATCATAAAATACGTGGGAAAACGGCAAAAAAATATAGTCAAACGTCTGAACTTAAAGACACCTGACTCTGTACACAGGCACTTGAAATGTGGTACACTCTTTGAGTGCATTCATATTACATCTAATAAGTGCTATAAAATAACATATCAGTTAGAAAAAATATTGATTCCAAAAGTGTAATACTATTCATAGTATAAACCAACAGGAAATGGAAAGGCAAAAACAATTTACAACAACAGAATGAGGGGGAACTTAAAACCTTATCCTTGAATGTGTCTTGCATATTTCTGTTTATATTGGGGTTGTACATTCTTACATTGTGTGTCTCACTTCACAAGCTGCTGGAGAAGGAGAATAAGTCGGTTCAGGGTAGATGAGTGAGCTGCTAGAAGGATGAATGGGCCTCGGGGGGAGCTGAGGAGGAAGGGTTTTTTTTCTTTCTTTAAATCAACACTGTGGTCACTCATACTGTAGCAGTGTCTGCTTTAATGTCACAGCCACAGCTAGGATCAGGATGAATCATGCTGGCTCTTCCAATAAAGAAGTGAATCATACACTGTCGCTCTGTGTGTGTGTGTGTGTGTGTGTGTGTGTGTCGTCATATGCCCCCCGCATGCCCACATCAACTGAGGAGCTGTGAGCAAAAATACAGCAGCATTTTATTTGTTTCCATTCATAGTGCTGCAGTGCTACAGAATGAATCACAAGTGAAGAGACCAGAAAGTTTAATTGTCTTGAGATGTTGGTGACCATGTGACGGATCCATGCAGCATCACACAGGACATAATGACTTACTTTCTCTGTCTTCCTGACATTTTTTAGGTTCTTTTAAAGGATTAAGTCGTACACTTATTCATTTTCCTTGCAAGACTTACATGAGAGGACTGATACTACTTGTCTAGGGCTTATAGTTCTACAGTTTATAGTTTATACTGTATTAAACAAATAAAGTGTAATGTGTTAATTAATTAGATAAATAAAGGTGCTGATAGGCTGATTTTGTTACCTTTGGATGGAGCCAGGCTAGCTATTTCCCCATTTTCAGTCTTTATGCTAAACTAAGCGCTGACGGTGGCTTTATCTTTACTGTACATACACAAGAGAGCCATTGATCTTCTCATCTAAGTCTCGGCAAGAAAGTGAATAAGCCACTGTTTCTTTAAATTCATCAGTGTCTGAATCATGTTGGAATTAGCTAATAATTCTACATATTTCAACATTAACAGCTGCTTTATATCTGTATCTTTCTACCACCCTACTCTATCATACATCTGCATATTGTTTACAGAATTCCTCAGATCTCTCAATGAGAGGGACCCTGAGAAAGTAGGTGCCCCTGTAGGAATGAATGCTGAACCAGTACAGTCAAGCTCAGCTCCATACTTCTTTTACAACATATCTATGGCAACTGCTTTTACAGTTACAGCAAGCAGAAGAGGGGCAACATAAAAGTGGTCCTGTGTAATAAAAGGTGCCTCCCCAGCCTTGCCTCTAAGTGCTTTTATATCACCATGGTGATACAGTAAATGTCACTGGCCTCAGACTTGGATAAGGGATCTGTAATGTCATGTTGAGGCTTCAAAGAGAGTCGTGTCGCCCCTCTGTTGTCCGCAGCATTAATCCCGATGAGAAGTGGCTGAGCTGAACGGAGCAGAGGGTAAATGAAGCTAAAAACCCTGAGGTAATTACTACCTGTCTGTCAGGACATCTCTCTAATGGGCCCCCGTGTTGATGTGAGCGCCGCCGCCAATGCATTAGCCCCTCAACACTGTTTATCAGGCTCTATCAAGCAGACAGAGCTGTATGCAAGACTGTAAAAGTGAGTATGTAGAGGATGGTGGTGTCAGTGAGCTGAGGATAGCCAAAGTCTCTGAGGGGTGTCCCAATTTTACGCTCAGTAAGTTTAAAGAATGACAGATGGGATTCCGTTTTGCAATTTGTTTCAGCACAGAATGCATGTAAGCATCTGTTTAAGAGCAGCTCTGTATACTGGGTCACCGCTGACGTCACAGCTCCTTTTTTGCTCATTAGACAGCTTTAGTTCCCCTCAGACATGTCAACTCATCGCAGTAAGTCAGCAGAGCTCCACAGTCCAGAGATGTTTGTCTCATGCTGCACATCCAGGCTCCATCGAGGACTGTGGAGGCACCCTGCTGAATCAGCCATGTAACTTAAGCCACAAAATGAAAGTAATGCACCACAAACAGGAGACAAACATTTGGGTGTGTTATATTATAAGCATGAAATTACTGAAACACAATCCCTAGAGGCTCTATGAAGGGGTGAGAGGGGTAGAGACCGCGGGGTGCAGGAAGAAGCATCTCGCTGAGGAAAAATAGTCGATTACCGAGCAGGCTGCACAGCAATTGACCTTCCAGAATATGAGTCACTTGCATCAGTCGGTGCAGCCAATCTCAAAGAATGAGGCAAACATTTTACAAGACAACATGCCACGAAATGTGTCTGTGGTTAAATGATAAAAGAACAAGAAAGTTCAGAGGAAGTTGATAGTGACTCACGCCTCCCCCGCTGTTTTTTGTATCGCAGTTGACGGCGGGGGTCTAATAGAGTGAATCCTATGGAGAGAGACAGAGGATTATATGAGAGTGGGATGCCACAGAGGAAGATGTGAGAGGGAAAAGGTTGGTCACTCAGGAAAAAGGTCTCTTTGATGCACAAAGAAAAGAAAGAGGAGATAATGGAGAAACTGCCTATATATCTTTCAGGCACATACATTTCATGGCTAGTGATTGTGGAATTAGATGGAAAATGGAAAGCTTCGAAAGGGGCAGAGGAGACTAAGTTGGCAGTTAGTGAGAATTATGTCAATAATAGATACTGGAATATTCAGTTAATATGAGATGCACTGGCATATATCTATGGTTATGTATCTGCAGTGACATTGGTACAGACATTGGTTGATATTGCCGTAGAGGTCGTGACCAGGCACACTGATAGATAGAGTTGGACTCTATATGCAGGGATGAAGAGTCAAACTGTGGCCCAAAGGTGCTGGGAGGCCTGTGGCCACTTCACATATGAATCAGATTCAGTTTTACATTCCCGTGTGGGCCCCCCCTGCTTTCTTTTTGGTCCATGGTTCAAGTCCCCACTCTCCTATCCCTGTCTTAAGCTCTGACGCCTCCTCTTCTTCCTCCTTTTCCTCAAACTTCAGGGGGAGGCGTGTCAGGCTGGGGGCCACCATCCACCCTCACCACTGCAAAGAGAAAGTATGATGAAATATGTCAGGCTCTGGAAGAAGGCACAGGTGATTTGTGGTGATATTTAAGTCAGCACTGGTTAATTTTTTAACGTGAATCCTATTCTTATTCACGCAGTTATGCATAGTCTCATTTGTACCAACACAGTCTTTGTTAGTAAATGGGAAGTCCTTTGATTAAGAACAACTTGATTAGTTTCTGATTGATGGTCCCACACAGATTATAACTTCACATAACTCACATATTTAAGTCCTCCTGCATGGAAAAAAACTTTTAAACCCCTGATAATCACACTTGTCCCTGCAGGGGGCCCTGTGGTGTCACTCACTCATCCAAACCTGTTAAACTGGAGTCATTACCCGCATGAGGATGGGAGACAAATACTCTCTTTTCCCACAAACCTCTTAACCTGCTGTCAATTGAGAGAAGCCATGGAAACGCTTTGGGAATGCAGAGACGTTTCTGTGAGGACCCCCAAGTCCGGTGGGTGTTTTCTGGTCTTTATAAATGCATCCTTGTGCCAGGGAAGTGTAGTGCAAGAGGGTTTATTTTAGGAGCTTTAGAAGAGGGGGATTCTTGTCGACTTATAACATCATACCCTCTCTCTATTTTCATTCCTTTTCCCTTCCGAAAAACACATATTTTTCCAAATATTTGGATTGCTAAACCCTGCCTCTCTTCTCAGTGTTTCTAGCCACACTGATTCTGTCCAGTCCATAGCACTACCCTTCTCTCTTCTTTCCTGTTTAAACAGACACTCTACAGGCATCATCCGTGAGAAAGAGCAGAGAGGCACTGATGCTGGCCAGCGCAAAGCCATGTGTAACACACACAAGTTCAGGCATGTGCACAGTGGCTTGGACCTATGCTTCTACCTCGGTGCAGCTGTTTCTGAACTGGCATTGCACCTCATTTTGGTAGAGTTGATAATAATGGCCACATGGCTGTCCAATGTTTTATAGAGTCCAAACTCTTTTCAAGAATCAATACAAGCTGTCTTTCACTGAACCAGATCAATCTGTTCTGAAATGTGAACTCCCAGTCGCAGAAAAGCTTTGTTACAGACTTCATCTTTCTTCTTCCTTCTTTTTTAATCAGCATTTTTAGGCAATCATGATTGGACCCTAAGCCACGATAAAGCTTTCGCATTTGCTGATTGGGATTGAATTTGAGATGGCTTCATGGTAATCACAAGAACTCCAGGGAAAGGTTAAGAGACATTGGAATGTTTTACTAATTTGAAAAATATATTACTTACTCATTTTTCTACTTTTCTTATCTTTCCCTGAGGGCAGGGGTTCAATGCACAACTTATTTTGATGAGCATGAGGGACAATGTAACTAATCTGACAGCTAGTCTATACTTAAAGGGGCATTATGGAGATTTCAGCGGCCACTAGCGGTGCGGTTTTAAGATTGCAACCAGGTTTGTCCTCTTATGCGGGCTCGCTTGAACTCATGAGCGAGCATAATCAGAAATACAACCGCTTTCATACAGAAATCCTGCAAAACAGGCTCTGTTACTTCAATGATCCCGGCTCAGAGGCAGCTCAACACCAGCTCTGTACCTTTCATTCAGTGCAGCGAGACACCGGCATACTGGCACAGTACTCTCGTAAAAAAGGCAGATTGACAGCGGCTATAGACAGACAGGGAGATAGCTTCACACTTCACAACATGCTGGAAAATCTCCCACTGCAACGTTACAATAATGTTTTTATCAGCTTGAGGTTGAATTAATCCATGCTCGTTACATGATGTTGGTCGGCAACAGGTCTTCTCTTGAGCGATCTTTCACCACCCTGACATTGAGTTTTCCAGATGTAATTATGTTGTGTTTTTATGCTAAACTGCAAAATGTTCAAAATGCATGATTGTTCATAAAGTGAAGAAACCTAAATAAAAGTTGTTTTCCTATGCAAAATGTGTGTCACTTTACTTAAAGCCAACAATTACATGTTATAAGGTCTTATAATTAGTTCATATGGTATTATGTCCACCTGTAATAAATTATACAGGGATAGATATTTTATGACTTTACTTAAAGCAAACAAAGACATGCTGTATAACTTTAAACATTACTATAAGCTATTATTCCATTTTATATCACTAATTCTAAATGGTGACTAAAGTGGACATGGTCAGATATTCTTGCCGCACATTGATATAAACTGGTATTACTATTAAATTAAATTAACATTAAATCAAAAGTTCATAATGCATTATGAACTTTGCTATAGCGCCTAATGCATGTTTGTAAGTGATTATAACAATTGTTATAATGTCTTATGGACACATTATATTGTGTTTTAAATATATGTATAAGTCATTATGGCGATGACCTTCATAGAAAGTGTTACCATTATTTTTTATAATACATTTGGTCTAACTCTCCATTATGGTATCTAATTTCACTGTCATTAAATCTGTTTCACGGTTTTGCTGACAATTGCTTCCACAAAAGATTTACATGGCCAACTCTGTGTGCTGCACAGCTGTGTACACACATAGTCAGAGCAAAAGAATACTATACAAAATATTATACAAAACGATCAAAGGATACATTTGATGCAGTATGCACTGTGTATCTTTGTCATGTAAGGAATAACAATGTACAAAAATATACTATAAATAAATATTTGATCAGACTTGGTCACTAAAACCTAATTTTATTAGATTGTATCACTCTGGCGTTTTCTATTTTTCCACCACCAGAGCTGGGTAACTTTAAATAAAATACAATACTCAGTCATTTTGTTGTTGATTGATTGTGTCTCAACCAGGGCAGTGATTTAAAAGTTTGTTAACGCACTACTTTGCTTCTTCACGGTTCTTAAGATAAAATATAAAGTTTTACTCCTTAGTGTAGTTTTCCAGAGTTAAGTTCATGTGGCTCCATAGTTCCTGGAAGGACTTCCATCACATCTAAATCAACAAACTGATCTTGCCTATGTCTAATGGTGTTGGCATCTAACAGTGGTGGGAATACTTCCACACAGAGAGATTTTTATCAAACAAAACAATGAATTATGAATCATCTACCTCGCTTACTGAAATTAAATTAATGATTTCTTACATGTCACAGCTACATTTTTACTGTAACTTGCTGCAGGATAATGTCACACAGTGAGGGACATACTGTTGAGCTCCTGCAGATCCCTCAGGCTCTTCAGAATCACAGACATTCAACTACACTAAACTGCAACCCCTCAATGGCATGTGATTGTAGTGCTATAATAAATGCCTCCTCCCTCAGGGTTTTCAATAAGTCTTATCTTTACGTTATTTCCCTATGGCTTTCAGATGAAGACAAAACTTCTGATATTACTCTGTATTCTGATGAATAACAATCTATGTTATCGAACAAAGGTTAAAGTCAAGGGCAACTGGACTTGGTTGAAGATACTGGAAGGGAGGGACGAAACGTCTTCCAGTATCTTCAACCAAGTCCAGTTGCCCTTGACTTTAACCTTCTTTGGATAACTATGACCTGGATGACTGAGAATCTTCACAGACACCAGTCTGTGTTACTAATCTTAACGACTGCATTTTGCCTTCACTCCATTTTGTATAGACTGTGAGGTCAAACACAGGACAGGGATGCGCAGTTGGGCCATGTGAGTGAGGACTTAGAGTTTTGTTTAAATTTTAAACGCATTCAATATGCACGATTCAGAGGGGGAGGCAGGCAGCCGAAGAGGTTGCGGGGGGAAGGGAAGGGAGCTGCACAGAAAGACGATTCTCTTTAATGGAGATGAGTAGACAGAAATGAGGCTGAGCACCCTTCATGTAGGAGCTCATGTGTGACTCATGCAGGGAATACCCTCTCCGAATGTTGTCAGTCAAAACATGGAACATTTTCATTGCTCTCATTCTCTTTTTAAGGCTTATTTGAATTGTTTTGACTAAAGGTGTTCCCATTATTTTAGCCGCTAGTAAAAAATGGTTCATTGGAAACAGGAAACCCCCTGTGATTTTCGTGGATTTACTGTACATATTCTCACCCTCTCACGTATTTTAACAGACCCAGTTGGTTGTTGAAGAACCAACGACCCCCAGCACGAAAGCATTTGCTGCCGTTTTAATGGCTTCCGCACCCGCAGACGGTGCTAATGCCAATTAGCACATGCTAAACGCTGATGCAGGATCACATTTTGAAAGGCAGTGAGAACAGGCCTGGATCCCGTCTTGTAACACCTGCTAATGAGCCAATCAGTTAAAGAGGCTACAGGGTTAATGGTGCAGTCATCTTCTCAATGAGCCAATCCCAAGCGGTTCCTCCAAAAGAAATTCCTTCTTTTCTTCGACATGCAGCAAGCTTTGCATTTGTCAAGTGGAAGAATGGACAGGGGGACTCAAACAAAACACAAAAACAAAATAAGCTTTTCCCAAGCCTCATTAGAATGTAATGGGTATCCCAGAACAGACACAGTGGTGGGGATTGTTCAAGGGAGGATTTATCTGCTGTTTGGCTTGTTAGCACATTGTTATTGCTGCATAACCATTTTTTAGGCTTTACTATAATTCACAATCCTACTATGAAGGGAACATAAGATCCTTAAAGAGAAAGCCATGAAGGGAAGCATGAATGAATAACAAGATCATGACTGAACTTGAGACTTTTTCTTAAGGTAAAAAGACTCTCAGGTTCGTGTGTAGATCAAGTGAGAAATCTCTCTATTAAATCTATTCAATGTAAGTGCTATTGGAGTATTAAAGGAAGACACTGTAGTCTGTTCTACAGAGGATCCATCTTATTCCTGCAGTACTTGCTTTTATTATCCAAGCTGCTTAAAGGTTATCATCTTTTTGCAGATTCCCCACTATGCACCTAGCCTCATCTTTTTTTGTGTTGGTACCCACTACTAAAATATTTAAAGAACGTGTATGAAGAGACCAGGTGGGTCTTTTTGTTGAAGTAGCTACAGTTTAAAGGATGATGTTGGTGCAATGCATCATGTTTTAAAATATAAAAAAAGAAAGACCAAAACAATAACTTGATTGTCAGTGCAAACCTGATATAGCTTATTCCTCTGTGCTACAGACCTCCATTGAGGCCAAAAAAACTATTCAAAACATTATTTTTGAGTCAATCCCACATAAACTGTCTAACCAACATAAATACTCACTAGTGTACCAAATGAGTATTAATCTGCAGCTGACGGTAGTCCCCAACAAATGGAATATTTCCTCCACTTTCAGTAATGTTTGCTAAAAATTACAGAGCCCAGCTGTTTGTTTTTTTAACTACCTAGCCTTTTAAAAATTTAAACCATATTTTTGTGACCTATTTTGAAAGTTTTACATTCAGTAGGAACCAGTGGCCTTGGGAGAGATGAACACATTCTTGGTTTTGGTCTTTTCATGGGATTTGTTGACAATAAGAAACACATTTTTAAAAAGCCTGACGTATCCTCTAAATATATGATTAATCTCAAGAGATTGGAAAATGAAAAATCGCGCAAACTACATATTTTTGTGGAGCAATTACAGGTAAGCATAAAAGCAATACAACTAAACACCATTTCTCTCTCTCAGTGTACTGTACTGAATGAAGCAGTAATTTGCATTATGTTGATTTTATCCCTCCAAGCCAGACATGATCTACTGACTTAATCTCACATAACCTTTTAGATTGTGTCTGACTACGTGGCAAAGTCTGTCCTAAAGACATATAACCAAAATACTTCATGATTCAAAGAGAGACAAATATAGATATAGAGGAGTAGTAAGAGTAGTAAAGGCAAATATAGAAACATATGCAGTTACATACTTTCCTTATACATTACAATTCTTATATGTACTGTACACTAAGATAGAAACTGTGTCAAATGTCTGTCAGCACTGAATATTTAAGCCTCATCTTGATGGTATATTTCAACATTTATGATTTAAAGGCATACAGCCAAACCAATGCATAAAGAATTCAAGAAAAATTTGCCTAATGTCCAGTATGTTCATATTACTGCAGGCCTCACTATTATATTCTCCAGTCTAATACATGTCAAGTGCATATAAGATTTGGCCTCACCTATCTGCTCTTGGCAGCTAGGTGTTAGTTCTGCTCCTAGGTGATATATTGTTTCTGATCTGAATGCTGGTCTGAACCCCAGACATGTTTGCTCTAAGGAAAAGGGTTTTACAATGCTGGAAAACCACCACACATGTATCTTGATGTAATGAATAATGACATTCTTTGGCAACTAGAATATCACAGTGTGAAGGAGAAATGTGCACCATGCAGCCTTGGATGAGGTTATATTAAGTTAGTTAGTTTTCTGTGATGACTATAAAGTTGTAGGGCAAATTATCACATTTCAAATGTATTTATATTTTACAGATATTAGGTGCAAATATGTTGACACACCTTAGAGTTTAGTCAATTGATGCTAGGACTGGGCTATACAACTGAAAGTCACAATATTCTTCCCCCACCCCCTGAATATACATGTGTTAGCCACTTTATTAGGTACACCTGTACAATCTAATGCAATCCAAACTATCCTGCCATTACATCTATCTTTAAGAAGTTTATAATTTTGGTGAAATGTCTGAAATGTGTAAATAAAATTTTTGAGGTCTTATTGAGGTCTAAGGTTTTGTTGTACTAGAGGTATTTTTTTATTGCTTCCCATTTACATACATGAGAGGGGCATAATATTAGAAACACCTCTCATTATAACGGTCCAGTACAGCACCACTACTAACTATGACATCTATGCTAAAAACATATATATAACATCTCCATGTTAGTTTCAAAAAACCTTTAAAAAACCTTATAGGTATCATAAAAGTAGTCTTTATGGTAGAACATTAATATTGGGTTGCATTAGACTGAACAGGTGTACCTAATAAAGCGGACACACTATGGCAAATGTGTAAAAGCAATCCATGTAAAATCTTTTTCATTACATCAGATAAAACTCTTCAAACATCTAAAATAAAAAATGTATTATTTCTTCAAATTATTAAAACAATGTGATCATACAACCACGATGCAGTTCCACTAAAACCTGATACACTGGAAATATATCGGATTGTTGCCCGGCCATAATCAATGCCCTGGATCCATCATGAAAATATTCACATACTTCTGTTCATCCTAAAAATAAAGAGTGAGTTCTAGGCTTACCTATCTGTTCCTGTGTGTGAGAGTGTGAGGGCTGAGTCTGGACTTCAGCCTGGGCCTGCTGCTGCTGCTGCTGCTGCTGCTGCTGCTGCTCCTGCAGACTCTGACTGTCCACCGAGATGCCGCTGTCGCTGTGCAGCTTCTCTCCCTCCGGCGTCACCATCTGGTTGTTTGTAGCCGCACGGTTATTAGCTGCCTGCTTGTTCTGCTTGCAGCTATTCCACCTGTGGAGATGTGGCATGTCAGAGGAAGACAACGATACGTTCAATATAATACAGTTGTGTGATCCTATCTGAGTTTTTGACATTTCAATTTCCCAGCAGCTATATTTTAAATGATTGTTGTCAGATACTGAGAGGCACTGTTGTGTAGTGGTGACAAAAAAATCATCAACCACTTGCCAACAACAGCTATTCTAAACTAAACAGAACAGAAGAACAGAATAGAAAGCTATAATAAGATGCTCATAAAACATTTCTTTAGAAGATGAATGTAAATCAATGATTAAAATATTCATGAGGTATTGAGTGGTACAGTAGCGTACAGTTTATTTATAACATTTTCGGTGCTAAAGAAATTCACATAATTTGCAGTCTGTTTAAGCATGATGATATGTACATGAGGAATACTAGCCAGATGTGTGCGTGACTGCTGATGAATCTGGCACTTAAATTTCCCCTGGTCGGCACTTTTCAAACAACCAATGCCTCTAATGAGCTTGTTTATGTGCTTCAAATGTGTTTTAGCCTGGGCTTGTATCTGTCTGTATGAGTGCTTGCATGTGTGGCTGTGTATCCTAGCATTATGTGTTTGTGTGTGTGACCTCTGCAATGCGTTATTTATTTTTTTCTTTTAGAAAAACTCATTGTGGCACATTTGAGTGATTCTCTAGAACTGGGTCAAAACCTTGTTGACCATGACAGGCCTGAATATTTCCTCAGACACCTCAGTGCCATTCTTTTGCCCCTGGGCAACATCTGTCACACCACCCAGCAGACCACCATCTCCATTACTGTTTACCCTCTTTGTCCTAGATTATATTGTGGCTGAGGTGGAAAACCCAATTGTGCTAATGTCTTTAACCACAAAACAGCTTTTCATCTCGTTCTTTTCTACCAACTGACCTCTTAAAAACAATGTAGGCCACGAGGCCCACCACCACAGCTGCCAGGATAGAGCAGTAAATGGGGATGAGGTTTTCGTTGAGCCCGTGGCCGAGGAAGCGAGGAGAGCCGGCGCTGGACGTGGTTGTCTCTCCTACTGGCGGCGGGCTTTCTGAGCCATCAGGGAGGAAGTAATTGGTGAAGGAAGGTGGAGACAGACCCATTTCGGAGGTTGAAGCAAAATATGTTGGGAGGAGAGGATCTGTATGGGAGATAAATGGAAGAAAGGAGAATCTGTGAGAAAAGAAACACACCAAGATAAAACTGGGGGAGAGGGAGTTGAGCACTCAGTGTTTTTATTTAAGTAAAAGTAGCAATACCACAGTGTGGAAATACTCTGTTGCAAGTAACGTCAGTTGTTGTTGAGATCTTTCAGTCTGGAACAAAGTGTTAGACCAACATTGCCATCCAAAGAGCCATGCCACTTGCATGGCTAAAAAGAAGCCCTTACAACGAGACACAATAATATCTCTGAGAGCTTGTTTGCTGGGGTGAAGTTACCAAGTCCCCAACCAGATGTCTGATACACTACACACATGCGGCAGCTGTTTCTGATAGACAGATGTTCTGGTTGAGTTGCTTTGTGCAAAAATAAAAGGAATGTTCCTCAATGAGGGAGGCAAATATCTGTCACCCACCAGCCCACCCCAGACCAGGCCTGGGCCGTGCACGCCAGGTCTTTTCTCACCCCTCCCCAATCTATGTGAACTCTGCACATTGCATGACATTAAGGCCATATGGATCCATGCAAAATAAAGTCCGGGGCTTTAGGAAGGTCATCAATTAGAGTGTAGCCTTTGCTGAGGCCAGAGTGGCAGGAAGGCTCTTTGCTACTGGATGTGTCTGGTTTCTATCATAGCTACGCCTGGAAAAAGAGTAATTTTCATAATTTGTCCTATTTCCTCTTTCTTTGTGAGCTCCATTAATGATTCAGTGTAATTCCCTATGTTACAGCAGCACTATGCCCACTCTGATGGGCATGACTGAAAACACAGTTTATCCATCAAATCTCTTCTTCAGTCCTGTCATATTAAGGTTCTGTTTTGAAAAGCACTGTTAGTAACACTGCAGTGATTCTGTCAGATGGTAGAAAAGCTCAGAGAGTAGTCTGCAGATTATTCCCTCCCTCAGGGTACGGTACAGTAGGCCGAGAAGAGGGTCTGTCCAGCCTAAACCAAAACTCCTCTGAGCTCAGCAGTCTGGTGGGGATGGAGAATGTGCAGCCTGGTTCAGATCTCAGCCTGTAATTCCCAGCAGAACCTCGGGCAGCTCCTCATTAGCTTCATACTGGCGCACACAGGATTAACCCTGTAGAGACCCCCGAGGCTTCCTTCAAGGCCATTGACTGGGACACCCTATCCCACACACTTTAGGGGACGTCCTACTTTACATCCGGTTGCCATGTATTGTAACTCGAATAACAAACTCCACTAGCATCGAGCCTAGCAATGCAGACACTTTTCCTTTAACTTGTCCAGGGTTTGACATATCCACCTCTTAAATGTTTTTTAAAAATCATATTCACTGAAGGTGAATGAAATTGAATTTGTGCTGCTCACAGCATTGCCAAAATGTATAGCAGCGTATAGCATATTAAATTAACAATTCAACAGCAGTGTGTCTTTCCAGAAACTATGTCACAGATTACATTCATATTTTGACAGAAATATTCAGTTTGTTCTGTGGATTATAAGGAGAAATGGGGGACAATTGTTTTTGCTGTTAAATGTCATTTTCATTGCTTTTAGCACCACAATTTTCATTCAGCTCTACTCTATTTGGGTGGCAGCATAAATATTTTAGACAGATATCTAGAAAAATAAATGTGGATTAAAAAACTCCTAACTGCTACCAAGAAAGTTACTATAATCACAATCAAGAAGCTGCCACCTCATTTTGCAAATGATGCTGTTATATATATACTACAATACATACAGATTTTGTGTCCCATCATTATTTAACTGTTTAGCTGACCAACTGGAATTGATTAACAGATTGGTGTGACCAGTGATGTGGTCAGATGACATTCTAGAAGAAAAACAGAAATTCAGTGGACCATCACGGTCAAAGGATGTCTACACATGTATTCTCTTTTCACTGACATGGCAGATAGTCAGGTTTCTCCACATTGATTTGTTGCATAATTCAGACACAATTACTCGCTCTAATAGTCCGATGGGACCTTGATGGGCAACTCATGTGGACATATAAAAAAAGAAATTCTATTAGTCGTTGAGAATCCACGTTGGTCTGTTTGCGTGGTGATGACGGGGCATTCCTGCCTCCCGTGGGGGGGATTGGCTTACTGAAATGGTAGAAAATATCTTTCACGGAGAGAAAAATCCAGCACATGTGCGTGCCATACTTAGAAACACAGAAATAATGCAGAGGCCTATTTAAAGCAGTGCTATTGATTCGGATCGTCTAAAAGGAGGGAGCGCTCAGAGGAGTGGAAAACGGGTGTCTGTATTACATGCATTTGTTGACCTTTCCTGGGATGTAGTCAGGTTTCCTCAGCTCCGCCATACATCATCCAGCTAATGCAGGGCTGGCTAATGGTATTAGAAATGCAACAAGAGCTCGCAAATAGAATAAATTGTGAATGGAAGGTGTGAAAGTGAGTGAAAGTGTGCAGACGGTCTGGCCTTATATACAGTTTCTCAAAGAAGCTACGGTCTTTACAGCCTTTCCTTTACCACACTGGGCATCAGTCATCCTGCACTGCTGTAAGTGCCTTTCTTTGGTGCAATTAATGTTCTCTCCATGCAGACATATACATACATCCTCAGGACTATACATGTAACCTCAGGACTCACTGTAAATTGTCTTTCTCATTTAGAGTCAAGATGACAGCTCTCCTGGGAGTCTGCTGCACATAACACAAAGAGTGACTACAGTTAAGTGCAGCATACTACATCTTTATCGTAAGTGTAACTCCCCCTCTTTCTCTCTGTTTCTCAAGGCTGATGTAAAAAAAAAAAAGTTGGCTGTAGACAAAAGGATAAACCTGGTGCTCCAGAGGCTGCATACCTCAGCTGGAATGGGAGCATAAAGGCAGCGATGGAGCATAACAATTTCATATTGGCTTCAGTGGGTTTAAAACACTCATGAAACAAATAAAACTAGCCCAGGATTTTATGAGCGTGGGGCTGTGTGTGCAGGGAGATGTGTTTATTATCGGGGTGTGGACGAGAAGGCGAGAAAAAAAGATTTAATTTTTATGAGCCATTGAGGTCTTTATGGTGAAGCTAACTCCTGGGTCTTGTGTGGAGGTTGATGTCTTGGCTGCTACCAATGTAGGGTGGAGATGAGCAACTATCAGGCACAGCACATGTACAATGACCTCTTTATCAGCCGCCAAACACTCTTCCTCTGTCCCAGCTCAGCCTCTATCTCAATCTTCCTCTGTGTTTGCCGCCTGACGCACACACATCCATCAAACACACACGTACTGCAAATTATTCAAGTGAGCGCTCTGTCTTCTGTTACGGAGGGTTAATAGGGACAGCGGAGGGGAGGGCAGACAGAGAGGCAGAGTGTTAGGGGAGAGTGAGGAGGGGGTGCAGATGAACAGAGAAGCTGCTGTAAAGAGCTCTGATTAGCAGGAGTAATTATACTGCAGCGGTGAAGGCACTGAATGCACACTGGCCACCTTCCACCACTCCGCTAGCCTAGCCACTTGAGGGCCACTGTGGGAAGAGATAGAGAGAGCAAATGATGAGAGGAGGGGGGAGGAGAGAGAGTCATGAGCAGGGTAATAAAGAGCAAGGAAGTCTGCCTTTATCTGTTTTTATAATCTTTCCCTCTCTTGTTTCTTGAGGGCAAACACTCGAACTAACGCTCACACTTCACGCTAAATGAAAATCTCAACTGGAGCTTGAACAGCACCTTTTGGAAAAGCTCGGACAGAGACTTTAAATGACACGAGGTGTTTTCAATTTCAGATCAAAGAGGTTCGCACATGTGCGGTGTCCGGAGTTTAATGAAAAATGTAAAAGTTAAAGCGCACTTGGCAGGGGGAAGAGCATACATGTGACAGGTTAGCCTGCTATTAGCTATATTGATTTTGGATGCTCATAAAGCGTGTTTGTGTGTCTGAAGTGGGAAAGGACTAAGCTTGTGAATGTCCGTGTGTGTGTGTGTGTGTGTGTGTGTGTGTGTGTGTGTGTGTCCTGCAGTTGAGTGTGGGTGCTCATAGAGGTCATTCAGCGAAACCTGAGCATGAGCTGAAGAAATCCCAGGACTCATATCGACCCCTCAGCATAGAATACCAGCACAGCACATATGCTGCAGCTCTCTCTGTCTGTTATCATCTCTGTTTCTTTCTCTCTCTTTCTGCCTCTGTCATTGTATCACGTAATTGACACTTGGTGACAGCTGGATATAAACTGGGGATTTGAAAATCATATATCTTTTACCACGGGCAGAAAAGAGAGACAGCGGGATAGAAATTTAAAAAATATTTTCCTCACATAAAAAATACTCAGACAGGATGAGAATTGCAGGAAGGCAGCTTCCTGTTTGCTGCAGAAAACCTATATCTGTATGCAAAGTCATTACAGACCACCATGGAGAACCTGGAAACATCATCACCACCGCATGTGACTACAGCCATTACCCACAGGCCCACTGGTGCTACATGACAGGGCTTTCCTTTCAAACGGACGTCCCACAAGGTCACTTATCATGCCATGTCCAGTTGCTACCATCATTGCTGCTACATAACTATTGCTCAGGACAAGGCAGGTCAAAGGTGAGACCAGCAGCATGGGTGGGCGCTAAATGGGCAGCAAAAGGCTGTATTGTGGCCTACTTATATCAGATATGTCTTGTGATATTGTGGGCATTTTAGGGGGCATAGGGTGCAGTTTGTTTTGATGGCTGTCATTCCTGTCAAGTTATAGCCTCATGGGTCTTTCCGAGTGGACATGGCCTCCTCCATCCTTGGTGAGTGTGACTTGGCTATACCTTACAGTGTAAGACCTTTCATCTTAGCTTTAACTGGCACTGACATGGACATTGCCTGGTGCAATAGTTCATGCCCTAGAGTGGGGAGGAAGATGACAACTATTATAATTGTCATCTTTCCAGTCCAACACACAGAACAGTGGCTGCCAAAATGACATATATGACCGTTCCCCCAAACAGAGAGACACGTGTGTTGTTACAGTTTTTCTCGATTGCTAAGCTTTACTTAATGAAACCGGGATCCACTACCAACTTAGGACAGCAGAAGTCTTCTCTTGCAAATGTTTTAAATTTAAATTTGTCTAGTCTATGTGCTACGGAAAGACCTGCACAAAAGAATACAATAAAGTTAATGAAGAAAATTTTCTTAGCAAATGTTTTTATAGTAATTCAACAATATATGTTTAAAAAGTTCTAAAAGCAGGGTTTGTTATCTCTAGTAAAATCATCTTTGGATAATATAGTACAGTTCATGCTGTGAAATGCTTACTTGCCTTTGGCACATACCAGAGATGGGGACTTGAGTTAGAGACTCAGACTCGAGTGACACACAGTGACTTGAGACTCGACATGAGACTTGTCCTCAAAAGACTTGAGACTCAACTCAAGGTGCGGGACTAGTGAACAATGTTTATTTTGTAGGACACTTCCGATGAGCTTGCCATTATTCCCTCTCTCCGTTAACTATAACCTGCCTATGTAACACGTAGCATCTGCTGCGCCCGGCCACACGTGAGAGAGGACAACAAACACCGCAGCTGCCGTGCCATTCATCATAAACTTTGGCTTTAAAACTTCATACAAGACCCAAACAAAGAAGCGCTGAATGCAAATAGGTTAGTAACCTGAGGTTAGTGAACATGTTTAGCTCAGCATTGGAAATCTAACATTGCTTCTTGCTTCAGCTACGTCCTACAAGAGGTTTACTCTGACTGTAGTTCGTTATGAAAAGATGAATGAGCATTTGTTTGCTTGCCAAACTTGTGGTAGTCGATTAACGTAATTATTTACGTCCCGCTGGCTGCCATCACGTTAATTGTTACCGTTGGCTAGAAAGAGGTTACAGGTTTACTGTTGATCATATAACCTTACAGTTTTATTTAGTTATAACTGGTTTGAGAGTGGGGGGGGATGTGTCGACTTACAATAGTTTAAGCTGTCATTGATTGCATTGCACATTACATGGTTGTGCTCTGTAAGTTAAAAACAGGTTACAGGTTTATTGTTGATTATGCAACGTCACTGTTTTATTTAGTTACACTGGGTTTAAGAGTCTGGGGAGTGTTTTGACTTACAGTATTAATAAACAGTCAATAATTGCATTGCACATTACATGGTTGTGCTCTGTAAATGAAAAACAGTTATAGAATTCCTTATAGCTTATACAGTTTTATAAGCAACCTGGATTAAACACAGCAGGTGATAAAACATTCGTAATAACCACGAGAGACTTGAGACTTGACTTGGACTGTTGCTCAGAGACTTGAGACTTGCTCAGAGACTTGAGACTTGACTTGGACTGTTGCTCAGAGACTTGAGACTTGCTCAGAGACTTGAGACTTGACTTGGACTCTAGCTCAAAGACTTGAGACTTGACTTGGACTCTTGCTCAGAGACTTGAGAATTGACTTGGACTCTTGCTGTGCATCTCTGGCACATACTGTAACTATGTCAAGTATCAACAAATGGCACAGGCATTTAGAACAAATTAAGGATGAACTAGTTCATACGGATAGCTTTATTTTGTATTTTGTTATCCATTGTGCAATGATTGATTGAAATAATATATTAATTTGACCATTAATTTGAAGCTGTGGTGTTTGATAAAAACATCTGCTTTTGTTCCATGTTGTTAATGTTTTGTGAGAGGTAGAGCATTTTGCAAACAAAATGTGTCATTTTGGCCAGTAACTTTAATTTTAAACCCCTGTCTACTGGATGAGAGTCCTGTGTTTGTTTGACCCATTTATCCACCCCATTGATACACGTAAAATTTTAATCAAGACTTAGAGTCTACAGTCATGCCAGAGGATGTGAGACTCCAAATACGTGCAGCAGTGCTATGAGCTAAATGCAAACATCAGAATGCTAATATGCTCACAGTGACAATGCTAACATGCTGATTTATTCTCCATCTTTGAATGTGTTAGCATACTAACATTGGCTAATTGGCAAAAACCACAAAGTTCAGCTGAGGCTGATGGGGATGTTATTAGTTTGTTCATAAACCAAAGTATTTCACAAACAAAAATTTTGGCGTGATGATGGTGCTAGATAAAAAGTTGTGCTCAACAAAGTTAGTACAATTCAGGGGGACATAAATATCAGACATAGATTTCCTGCAAGATTTGACTTGTTGGCACATGATTTAAAATGCAAAGCAGAGCCATGTTCAAAATTACTGTATGTACTGGATGATAGAAATCGAAATGCAACTTGGATGGTGTTTGGCATTTTCAGAATGAAAGGTGGTAAATCCTTGTCTTTGTTATTAGACTTTCCCATGTCCATTTCTCCACTGCCTGTCAATACTATCGCAGTCTATTAATAGAGGAATTTACATCTTGCATGCGGTGAGACCACATCCACTGTACTACAACAAGGTGTTGACAGATTTTTGAGGTTCATTATTAACTTGGTAGATCCAAATACCTGCCAGCGTCTGAGGCAATGAAATCCTAACCAAGTCAGCCTTCTAAAGAGAATATTGTAGCTGAAGTCTAAATCCCAACATTCATAACAAAAGCTGTCATTAAAATGTTCATTTAAAACTGATAATGTAGACAGAAGATCGATGAAAAGGCCCTGCATTAGCAAGGGCTCCTGCTGTGAAGTGCTTTCTTAGAAGCATTTAATCACTCCACAGCTTAAGTCCCTCTTTTGCATGAAAAACCCTCATAGACAATGACCGCAAACGTCTTCAGAAATCAGACTGAAGATGTAGAGACTTTCTTTAAAGTCATCACTTGTCTGACGTTGTTTTACAGAAAGATAGCAGATTTTCATCAAGGAAACTGGGAGTAATACCATCTAAGACATTTTACCTCCCAGATTTCAGCCTTGTTGCCCCCTGATGATGTTGATTTCATGCCTCGTCCGGCACGAGAGAATTTATAGCTTTCCTTTGGTTAAAAGCTGCCTCTACTCTTGGATACAAGAAGCTCGACTCTGCTCTTTGCATGTTGTCTTCTGCTTTGTGGGAGAGCAGATTATTCATTGTCTCTGTGTTGACCCCGCAGAAGTCTTTGACCTTTTAATGCTAAACCTTTCAACTTTCTGCCATTTGAAAACCTCACCAGCAGGGACCTCTGGCTGTGATTGAGACATATATGATGGCTCCAGCACAGCTTTGAAATTCCTGGCAACCAGTGTGCAGAATGTGTGTTCTGTTCTTGTTCTCTTGCTTTCACACCTAACCTGTTTTGTGCAGTATGAACAAATAAACAACAAACGCTGGACCAAACAACTACTTTCACATTTACCTGATCCATGTGCTGACTGTGGGAACTGTCAAGGAACCAATCTCATATATAGTTATATAAGATCTCTTGGTAAATTGATAAATTAGAAAGTAAAAAGAGGTCAGCACTGAGGTGTGTAATCATTGTATGTAGGGATTTCCTCATTGAAATATAAGTAAAACACAGTTGCCACACTTAAAACTTTCCATTGCTATTATATTAGAGTGCTAGAGGCTTTTTTTTGTCCTGTTTCTGGCTCTCTGTCATTATTTATCACAGATGAGTTTCAGTTGCAGTCTAAAATAATGATGCTAATAACCAGCTATTCCTTCCTGAGCACTTTATGACCACAAGAGAAAATAAATAAACCCATAATTTGCAGTGGAGTTCAGCATGGCTTCCTGTTAGTCACCAGAATTAACTTTATTTTAATTAGGGTTGCAATAAATTATTATTTTCTCAATTAATCAATTAATTCTTTGGTCCAGAAAATGTCACAATCACAATTTCCTATGCCCAACATGACATTTGCTCAAATTGCTTGTTTTGTCCAACCAACTGTCACCTATAGTTTCCAACTTATTTTCTGTCTATCAGCTAATCATTTCATATCTAATATAAATTTCCCCAGTGTGTCTGATGCTGATGATACTCAATGACAGTCACCTGTGTCATATGAGTTCATGTTTACACCTCTTTTTTTGTTTGTATTAAGACTGTTTGGACATGATATTGACCAAAACTTAAAGACAACAATTTCTCAATATGTCTTTTCTTTAGTCCAAATTACCTGAACTAAAGGTGTGAATGCGACCTGAGTGTGTGGCAGACTTACTATGACAGACAGAGTCACTGGTTGGTGTGCACAGAGCCAGCTGCTGCTCAGTTTCCTCATCACAGATGGTGCAGGGCAGGCAGGGGTCGAGGGAGCTTTCCCGGTCAGAGAAGGTATCGTCCACACACTCCTCGCACACAGTGTCATGATCATGTTCGCAGTGTGCAAACACACCCTGGCCTGCCGGACACACCGTACATGGCTTGCATTGGCTTGATAATGTGTCGAAGAAATAGTTGTAGTTGCAGATGCAGATGGCATCATTGGAGTCGGTGCAGGGAGTCTCCATCCGCATCAGGCCAGTACACTCAGTGCAGGGCCTGCACTGCTCTGTGAGACTGTAGTTTTCTGAGAAGGTCTCACCTGCAGATGAGAGGACGGGTCGAAGGAGACGAGACAGAAAAGTGAGAGGGAGGAAATGAGAGAAGGAGGCAAAGAGTAAAGGAGGTTAGAAGATGGAGAGAGCAGGAAATATGAGGAGATAAACAGAGGGATAAACAGTGAGTCTAATGATATTAATCATGTTTACTGCACATTCATTAGAAGGGAGGACACATTGATCCACTGGGCTCTTAGTGATTTGTGCTCCGGGACAAGAAAGGTGCTCTTGTTGGGGAGCGAGTCAAAAGCCTGCTGTGCTCATTATGATATCGATTCCAGTGTGTTTGTGCCGCGCTGAGTAAACTGCTTTAATCTCAGTCATATACACAGAGTGAAGTGCAGGTGCATCGACATGCTTACACTGATGGACGAATGTATTTCAAGAAATCACTTGGGTATGTTTAAAGGCTTTATAGTACACTTTTCATTCACATTGCTTAATCCAAACTCATCTAAACACATAGATATAATTTTAGATAACCATCATATAATGTGTCATGATTAATTCATTAATTCATATAAAATGTATTTAATACATTGTGTTCCTGAATCTACTGTTACTTGAGCATTTTATACAAAAGGGAGTATTTATAAAAATTATAATTTTCAAATAAGTAAGTCTATTTAGAATATTTCATTAGTAACAACCTAAAAGAGCACTTTCTTATGATTGGTTTATATTTATGTCTGTGCTTGTTTATCAGATTATATGAAACTAGGGAGCCTGTGATTAACAGTGTTGAACAGAATGAGGTAAAAGCTGTGCTGACTAATTGCCTATTGCTTTTCAATTACTTCAAACACTTCAGATTTGCTCTCCAGGAACATTTGCGTCAGGAGGATTTGGGAGAGTTCATCACTGAGGAAGTGATGACCTCAAATTAGCTTATTCTTACACTGACAGTTCCTAGGGAAACAAAGTGATCTATTAATATTTCATGTTCATATAGAATTATTTTCAGGTATAATGGGATGCTTGCTGAATTGTCCATACAGCGAGAGAGAGGGGGGTCTGTGAATGTTTGTCGTATAAGTGTGCTGTAGTGGTTGAATGACCATGGGAGTGGAGTAGAGAGGCTGAGAGGGAATAAAGCTCAGATTCACTATAGAGCTTTACTGTTCTCGAAATCCCATTTAACTTTTTTGTGGCGTGCTTAACATGAGTGTGGTCACCTTGCAAGAGTCGCAGTTCAGACAGACACGACACAATCTGTGACATCTTACTATCTGCTACATAGAGGAAAAAACTCCAGCACAAAAGTTTCACAATATGAGATCATGAGACAAGCATGCATGTCGAAACAGCTTTCTAAACTCTTAAATTAACACCAGAGTCCGCTTGTTTCACTCTTGATTACACAAACTGAAGCAAAGTAAATCATTAAGTCTGGGTGTAACTGTAAATAAAGCCACATGGCTGTATGGATGTGTGGGACTTTTGCGCAACTCTTATCTGCATATGCATATGTCTAAGTTTTTCATGAGAAGTGCTTAGTGGGTTGAACAACACCATATTGCCAGTGTGAAAAGCCCTGCAGCAATGTACCAGCACTAGCTTTGCGTCGTAAGCGGCTCTGGCCAAGTAAACACTGGCACAGACCGAAGCTCTAAACACCTTGTAAACAGCAACACGGCCACAGATGAAGGCCGTCACATTATACAGGCAGACTGAGTGGAGCAGACGGAGGTAATGATTTAGAGACAGGTAGGCAGTGAGACAGATCAACAAGCTCAACAAGAACGAGGGGCCGCTTGATTTGCTTGAATGAATCTCTGTGTGAGACTGTGACTCAATCGGAAACAGTCTTTGAGGGTGGTCTGAGTCCAACACGAGTCTAGAAAACATGATTTAGAGATCAAAGTATTGAGGAAGTGCTGATGTACGACTGGAAGGGGAAGGGTCAGTTCAAATGAGGCAGTCGGGATGTAAGGGGAGTTCATTTTCCTTCTTGGATAGACACATACAACATCAGATTACGTGTTTTTTCTTTTCTCTATCTGTCATCACCCCTTGCTCTTATTACTGTCTGGAAGCAGAAGTCATTAAAGAGAGGGACACTGGCTAAACGATCCAGACCCGGACAAATAACAGACCTCAGGGGCAAACGATTATTTGAATTTGTGAGCTTGAAGCCTTTGTTTTCTTTGCAGTCAGGCTCAACCGGTAAAGCTTTCCTCATTCATTTCAATTATCCCACAACGCGCAGGCTTCCTTGCTAATTTTAACCTGCATGCATGAGCCCCTCTCTGGTCGTAAACACGTCTAAACGTGACCATATGCACCGAGTGTGCACAGGAGAAGAGTGCGTTCTGTGTGTGTGTGTGTCAGCACTTTCATTTGGGGGCTAGAAAAAGAAAGTAAAAGGCCATCAAGAATCAGGTGGAGAATGTCCTCTTTGATAAAAAATGATCCTTTTTCTAATTGTTCCCATTTGAGCGATGACCAGTGCATCTCAGCAATCAGTGTTCTGCAGTAAAAACGACCTTTGGTAAAGGGAGATGTGGCTTTGTACCGGGGGATGATGCACTTAAAATGTGCCACTTCAGCCTGTGAAGACCCCCATCTGAACACTGATGTGTTTTGGCCCCATTAGTGTCATCAATAATGTAGCTCTGGATGGCCTTGAAACTGCCTGGTGATCTCCACAATCAGCACTTTAGGTGTAAGCTTTTAGCGAGGACAGCCATTTCTCCCAATCCACAACGATCAGGGTCCACGTTTCAGCAGAGACAACATTTTCTTCCTGACCCTCTGCTGACTGGGGATTAATTAACAACATTTAGAAATCTGCGTGACAGCTTTATTTGTCTTTTGAACATTTTTGCATGTAATTATCGCCCTGTTTCATTGGTCCACTTAGCTTCCCTCCAGATTTGAAACAGGTGTTTTGGGATATTACCAAAGCTAAGAGAGCAAAAGAGGAAAGATCTAATTTAACAATCAACAGTTACTCTTGTGTCCTGCGTTGAGCTTTTGTTTTGGTCGTGTCAGAGTGCCATGTAGGGAAGAAGCTTCCTGTGCCATTGCCACAGAGGACCTTTCTTCATCCCTCATGATCCAACGTTGGAAGAGATTCTTGATGCTCTGTTTCAGACGAGGCTGTGATTCTACTTTCCTTCCTCCTTTAAATCCCCAGTGAGCCCCGGTCCAGTTGGCAAGCAGGGCTTTTCTTAAACGCTACATTGACTCATGAGGCTCTGTCTTTTTTCTCTCAGATCTTCAGTCAGTTTGCAGGGCAAGTTATCTGAATGGTTCACTAAGTGAGGCAGGTCCAGTTGTCTTGTCTCCCATGACAGCAGAGAAAAGTGGAGGAGACTGATAAATATTTCAGCGCTGCTGACGCTGGCACTCGTCCCAAGCCGGGATTGGGATGCAATAAACACTTTACACTGTCAGGAAGTGGGGAATTAAGGGGGGTCGCAGTAAATAAAGATTCACCCATATTTACCATGAAACAGGAAATGGATTTGTTGAATTTTCCTCTTCAATTATTCATTTCTGCACTTTAGAAAATGTATTTATAGCTTTAGTTTTTCAGGTAAGGTCAGTGTTTCAGTCTCTAACTTCCATATAAATCCCAGCCTTATTTTAGTGTATGTGCTCCTGTGTGCCTCAGGTACATTAAGATTTTATCTCCTGAAACAAAAACAATATCAAAACCAATGAAAATGCATTCGCACCGGAAATTGAGTGCAACCTCCTGGGTATTTGAGCTTAATTGTTAAGTGTTTATCAGCAGTGAATACTGTTCCTGTACTGCAGAGCAAGATAATTGTTCACTGTTAGAGGCACAATAGGCTTTTCAATATGGTTTAATTAGCTGGATCAAATGAGTAAAGATGCATTGATGTAACAGTATGCATGATGAATGAGCAGATCGTGCCCTTTGGTGCCTGGCTCTCTAATACCGTTTTATCTGCTAATACAGAAGATGAGTCATAGCAACAGGGAGGAGGAGGAGGAAGGAGGATGCTGGCTGAGAAAAACGAGTACAGGATGGAGAAAAGAGGTGACACGACAAGAGTTGGTGGGAATCGCTAGTGTGGAGGGGTGGGGGAGCGAAGGAGGGAAAAAAATACCAAATACTCATCAGAACAACAGTCCTGAGGGCCAGCCCACATTATAGGAAAATGGAGCTGCAGTTTACCATCTACGCATCGTCTGCCACTGTTTACGTCAGGGATATGAAAAAGAATATGACATGCAAGACACATTCCTCATGACGCCAAACCAAAGATACAGTCCAGACACATCTGAAGCTGCGACGTGTTTCTCTATAGTCTCCAGGCGCCTCCACTCAACCAATTTCCTGCTCGGGTCTATCAAATGCCATATTTGATGATGACTATTAATTACCCTGCTCACTCACTCTCCACCTACTTTTGTGACTGGATTTTTAACAACTCAGATGTCAAAGCCACTTTATTCCTCTTTTATTTATGCCAATCCATTCATTTTGTCAATTTCATGCCACTACCTTTTCTAACATTGACTTTGTTTAACTGAGTTTGTTCATGTGAAATTGACTCGCAGTCCTTTGTGGCTTTTTTTTTTACCCCTGTGGCACTGTAGCACTCTACATGTAGAGAATTGGCTCCATGCCCCTGTACCCATTGCTGCAGCTCTTGAGTTCCTTGAGGCGGAGAATGAAAACTTCAAACAGGGGAAATCAGCCAGACTTCAGATTCTTAATAACGTAACACAACACAGAGATTAGCATCTGTTGCACATAAGTTCACAAGTTCAAGGATAATCAGAGTATCTATTTTCTTTGGACACAAAGCATTGCTGCCAGTCTGCGAACACTCGTCCAGATTTAGTAATTCCCATCAAAATGACTGATTGATATTATTGCGTTGTTTTGCACAACAGAAGGTTTGGGACTTTTCTCAGCACTACTTGTTTACATGCACCATTTGCCAGTGTTTATATGTGTTGTCTGAATGAATTAATGCCATCAATCAATGTACAGTACACTCTAAACGTCTAAACAAAGCCAATTTTGGATTTCTGTTCTGTGTCAGCCACCACAATGTCTCAAACTGCCAGAAGTAGCATGTGCATGTTTTCAAAAGGTAAGAAAAATACCACTGCAGAGTGTGATATATCATCCCAATTCTTCAGCTCCTCCTGAACTATGCGCATGACCTATACTTTGACGTTTACTTAGCGCTCTCTGACATACACCAACATCTTAAAGGGCAAAAAGAGCTACATGAATGTGACGCAGAAGGACCCCTAAATAGAGAAGAACACATTTGTCCTTCTTTTTCTTCTTCTCCATGATCTTGCCGTGTTGGCACCCCTCCCAGCTCTGGTCTGTGGAGCGAGTGCTAATGGTTCACAGCCTTAGTTGAGCTGTAAGCGAACACATTTGGACCCACTTACAAGCATCAAACATATGAATTCTTGCTCTATTTCTTGGGACAGAAAGCAAAACTGTCACTTAAAGCAAATTGGACAATAGGAATTTGTTTTGGCCTTATCAGTCTTTTTGTTTGGAGTTTAGGGCCTGAGCTGCTATTAAAGGCGAAGGAAATTAATGTAATGTGAGTAAAGATTATGTAAGTGCAGAGACTTTGTATTATTCAGGAGCGAGTGTGTGCAATGCCGGTGATGACATGCAGTTTTACATGCATTAGTTTACATGTGTACATACTGTATTTGATTTAGATTTTTCCACATTTCATTTAATACTCCTAAGTTTGACACATTTCAGGAAGTGGAGTTTCTGTAATGTCAAGTTTTTTATTTATTTATTTATTTATTTACTTTAAGAGCTAGTTAACCAAAATAAATGAAATAAAAAGCATATTTTGACCTGATTGTGAGCAGATCTGAAACGCATTGTACGAAGGATTAATTGTTGGCAGTGAGGTCTATAGACATTGTTTGTGAAAAGATGTGTTGTTAAGAAGCACAAATCTCAAAACTTCAGATATTAAAACTGACAACTGATGGTGCATAAGAAAATTATGAATAAATTGAATAATTTGGTACCAGTGGTACTTAATCAGGAACCTTTTATAAATGTTTTATGAAGTTGTAACTTGTCTCGTATTTACCTTCAAAACTCATGGAAGTGGGAAAATGGGGTGACATAATTTTTTCCAAAGTAAATGTTTGTTTCTAATATTTTACTGAATGAAGTCGCCATGGAAAAAATACTTGAATATTCTCTGAGATTATAAAGTCGTAAATTTGTAAGAAAAAATTCAACCACCAAACCTAGCCTATTTGAGTGAGTTTTCATTTGGCAGTGACCATAAAGTGAAGTGTTTAGAAAATAAAATATGTCACAGTGAGTTTGTTTGGATGCATATGTGTGCGTGGGATGTAAACTTTGAGTGTTTACTCATTAAGGAGGACCTGTGCACGCTTCTTATCTCTGGACTCACTCAATTAGCGTTGGTGACGTTTTGACTGGCTGACTAGCACAAATACACACTCTGGATAAGAAGACACAAGGTTCTTCAAGGTCTGGATGCTTATTATAATATGGTGATTCTTTGCTAAAGTCTCAAAAAAAGATATTTCCTTATTGCTAAATGAATCCGATTTCAAAAAATAATTTGATTAGGTCATCCACTGCAGGCATAATACACAGCAAGTGGCAGCCAGCGCCTGTAGTGTGATGAGGTTCATCCAGCCTTGCAAAGTGAAGTGATGTGGTTCCTTGACAAAAAAAACCCACAGTTTTTGAAGTTTTTCTCTTGTAAATTTATGATTTATAATCTCAGAGAATATTCAAGTTTTTTAAGACTTTAAACTCAGGAATTCTGAGTTATTTCTTGGAATATTACCTCCCTCCGTATTTTATTTTCTACAATGGCCCTAATATGTGTCATAGTTTAACTTTTAGAAAGAAAAATAAATTCTTTAAAATGACAATGAGATTAGATGATCGTGTGTTGCATTGTGGTGATAATATAAATTAAATAACATCCAAGTTGTAACTAATAGCTTTAGTAAAAGTAATTTACTATCATTGCATTATAGATTATAGTTACAAGCCATCAATAAAAACAATTTAAGGATTGCAGGAAAAATCCCTTTGGCTAATGTCTGTTCTATTCTTTATTTGGTATAAATGCTCATCACTTTCTCTTTTTCTCTTCTAATTAGTCATTAAGTATGCAGTTAATAATTATAATAATTAATTAATAAAGGGTTGTATAATATATATCAAGTCTGTGGTTGTAAATGTAAGTCATTTTTAATACCTGGATTGTGGTCCAGATTCTTCACAGGCCTTTTTTAGAGGTCAAGCCAAAGGCATTTTTCACAACCTGTCAGCCCAGAAGTTGACTAGATTCTTCACAGTCTTTGTTTATAGGGTATACCAAAGGCATTTTTTACAACCTGGCAACCCATTAATTGACTAGACACTTCACAAGCCTTTTGTAGAGGATAAAACTAAAGCATTTTCACAACCTGGCAACCTAGGACTTGTCTATGAAGCATTATTTAATGAGTTTAGTAACCATTCATTAAGCTATTTGTTACAACTTATGAACCCTATATCTAAATTGTGCCTTATATGAAGGTGGTACTAATGTTTTTTTCCTTAATTTGATCAGAATGTACAGTAGTTGACTGTCTTTATTGAACTCTGGATCTTAATGAACTGAGTTTGATCAGTGTATGTACAAATTAAACAATGAAAAATCTCTACTCACTGTCCAAACACTGGGCGCACACTGTCTGCGTAGCACCACATTTCTTCACCACTCCTTCTCCAGGTGGACACTCTTGGCAGCATTCTCCAGAGCTGGTGTACTGGTTTGTCTCACAGGGGAGCAGCACCGCCCGCTCCGTCTTAGACGTCGACACTAACGCCACCTGGCACACCGGGACAGTGAGACAGTACATCAGCGCAGCACATGCATACAGTCAAACTTTCACACATTTACAAACACACACAGCACAGGGCCACTGCGACTTAAACATACACAGCTAAACAAATTGAGGAAAATTACTGCCAGGTGTCCAACCTGTTGTTTAAAATCCAATCGCTATCAGGATTCATCATAAATCATGTTGTCTCCACCTATATTAGACACACTTTAAACAAGACAGTCGTCTAAACTGCCTTAATAGCTCCCCTGAAGGCTCATCAACTCTAATAGTAAACTTATGACACGCTGCAGCCGAGGCAGGAAGCATAAAATCATGTGTGCACGACATTATACACATGCCTGTCCTACTTACTGTTGAAAGGTGAGAGTAGCTGTGAATGTCAACCCCTGCTTCCGATCAGCTTTGGCACACACACACACACACACACACACACACACACATACACACACATGCTTGTTCTTGTTCTATACTTTTTTTTTTAGAATTAATGCAGGGATGTGGGACTGGGGGGAAAAGGGGACTGAGTGTGCATGTGAGGAGGGCCCACAAAGATACTTGAATGAATAGCTGTGGATGCGGGGAGGGGCACATAGAGAATGTCTTTGTAGGTCCAGAATTTTGTGCTCCATCCCTGGCATTCCCTACCACCTACATCCCAACGTTAACCATCACAACTGCATTAAATCCACTCTTAGGCTTAAATCTACTTCTAACTATAACCCTTCATGCTAAAAGAAAAACTTAATCCTCTAACAGCACCATAAAGAAGCGAGGACCGGCCAAAATGTCCTCACTTTCCAAAAATGTCCTCAAGGTCTACAACTCAAATTGCTTCTAACAACAACAGAGGCACAAGTTTTTGTCACGTAGGTGGACACTGTATGTAATTAGCCCAAACAACAAGTCATAATGGTGCAATTTAGTGGTTTCCTTTGTGGCAACTTGTTTTGTTAAACCAAATGAGAGATGAGTCGCCATAATGTGATTGTGTGAGCAGATTATTGTTTAAAAATTGACTCTCACTGGATTCACTGCTGATGAGGTGACAAAGTTGTCAGATAATAACACTCTTTAAGCTTTTCAATAGCTGTGTCCTCATTTGCATATCAATCACAGTTACACATTTTATTACCTTAAATACCTGCAGCATGCAGCCATTGTACTTTAGGTACTTAGATAGGTACTTAGGTACTTATGTTTCCTATTCCTGACTAAGTATTTCCATACATGGTTTGGTTAAAATTTCTTTGATTCAGAGTTTACATCTCCCTCATCCTGTTTAATCTGTCTAATGTACTCCAGTTATCACCTTCTTTCTCTACCTCCCTCTCTTCTCGCATTTTCTCAGTCCTATGAAATGTGCATGCAGCTCTACTGTCAAAAGAACTGAGGCTTGTTCCACTGGTGCATGCAACAGTGTTAAATAAAAGGAATTCATACCCATACGTTTCAGAACAAAGAAAATCATTATGCTGAAACACTTTCATGTCCTGTGGCTCTTATTATGTAACGAACAAAAACTCATTTCCACTTAATTCACATTTGCTGAGACATAAATTCACTCTTCTCTGTCTCTCTCATGCATCCCTCCCCGCCCCTCCATCCTCTCTCTGCTGTCCCTGCTTTCATTCAGAAACAGATGTACTGAGCAGCCAGCAGCTCTCTCTCATTCTCGCTCCTCTTGCTCATTATTTCCCCCTTTCTGTCATTCCACTTTTTGCTCTCTGGGTGTGTTTCTCCTCCGCGTAATTTCTCCTTACTTTACAACCTCTTTATCTCAACATTTTTGCACTAATCTCTTTTATTTGAGTATATTTTCAGGGTAAAAGTCACGTTTATGCCTGCTTAAATTAACTTTGGATGCAGCCCAAAACCTCAAGATAGTTCCCTCTTGTATCTGCAGGGGAAGGATTTAAGTCCCTGACTGTTGCGCCAGCTCCTTTCCTGTGACATCTCCCTGGAATATCACTCATCTTTAACACAGATTAATGGCAAACTCAGCAGGAAATTTGTTCACCAGCAGCAGCAGGAACATGCATCCACACACACACACTCGTACGATGACCCTGCTGTGATATGCGTGGTTTGTACTCTCCCCAATTTCATGGCTAATTTGGGAGTTTATTTCTAAATTTAATTCTACCAAAGTGCACCCGACCGTCGCCACCCTTTAAACCAGCTGTCATAACAGAGTGTCCCCTCACATCCAGAGCTGTTCACATGCTGACGGAGCTGCACAGCCCAATTAGACCAGCTGCTGTGGACGTACCAGAGCGCCAGGAGGATGTGCCCTCCATTCTGTGCTTTATCACCACCGTCCTCCATAATCAGCTTTTTCCTACTATCGGAAGAGCCTTGTTTTTTTATGTCAGCCAAACAATTTTAAAGCTCATGTTGGATAAGAATTTAATGAATCAATTTACTTTCCATAAGCTGCAGCGTCTTTATCTCTTCTTATTTCAAGACCCAAATATCCCAAACATTAAACTATAAATTAGAAATAAATTATTTCTACTCATTAATGCCATTAAAGTCTGGGCCAAGGCACCTGTCAGCAGACTGCTCCTGGTTGTCTGGATGCAGCCCAATGTGAAGCAGAAATCTCCCAGTATTTCCCAGAAACCAAACTAAAAAAAACCCAAGAGGGTGGTGTGTCTATGTGTGTCTGTGTGTGTGTGTGTGTGTGTGTGTGTGTGTGTGTGCATATGTGGAACTGTAGGGATATATTATAACCTGGTTATAATAGCACATGCAAATCAGTTGTTGGTGTTTAGCTGCATGTAGCACCTTCATGTTTAGCAGGAAAAACGTCACATTAGTTAATGTTGTGTTTTCTGAGGGAGACACCACAGCACTTTAACAGTAGGCTAAGCATTTTAATCCTGTTCAAAATGCCATTGACATATCACAGCGGTGATGTTAAATACAATGAAAAGTCTTAAGTCAAGAAAAACTCACAATAAATGTCCGAGCAGGTCTATTAAGGAATATTATAGCAATATCATAGGGTAAGGTCTACAAACTAAGCTCCAGTGGAGATATTACCGGCTCCATACAGAAACATCGGCAAAAGGAAATGTGTAAAAAGTGCAAAAGGACACTAAAATTAATCTACAGTCTCTACAGAGTAATTAAGTAGAGATTTTTACAGCAGACACACAGTAGTTTGCCTACTGTACAGACTACTTACCGAAGCGCACAAAATCACAAGCGATAAGGTAGTAGTCATCCTGCGTCGCCTGCTGGAGTCTCATAAAACAGATCTTGTGCAGAAAAGGCAGCGCTATGTGGAGGAGGAGAGCAGCTCAGCAGGAGTGCTCATTTTAATTCCAGCGGCACGGATTTTATCAATGAGTCCGCACCATCACGCGTCTGTCCGGGACCTCTGGACTGGAGTCAGATGCGAGTGTAGGTGCACCCCTCAGCAGCAGCAGCAGGACCGCCACACACTACCTCTCCAGCACACACAGATAAAAGAAGAAGAGGAGGAGGTGTAGGAGACCGTCCTGTCCGGAGTGCTGCACAGCTGCAAGTGCACTGCGGAGGAGGCAAGAGGAGACAAGAGAGGGGGCACGTCCACACTCCAGTTTATTACCCCTGATACTCATGCAGTAAGACCCCCCCCTCTCTCTCTCTCCCTCCCTCCCTCGTGCTTTAATCCCACGTGAGGTCTGATTCAATGCAAAAGTGACAAAATGATTTACATTTATTTTAAAGGACCCTCATTAAAAGTATGTAGACACCCCTGTTCATGTACTTTTGCTACTTTCTTTTAGTGTTGGGCTTGTCTAAATCAATCCCAATTTAAGGGGAATCTTACATCATACTTTACAATACTATTTTGTGGCAAACGTTTGGGGGAAGACCAGGTCCAGGTCACAGTTTGGTGTGTTAGAATTTGACTGGACTGCAGAGAGCCCCCGATCTCAATTCCATCCACCTTTGGGATGAACTAGAACATGACTGCTAAGCAGGTCTTAACCCCAAACATCACTGGTCGACCTCACTAATGCACTTGTGGCTGAATTGGGGAAACAGCTTGCAGCCATGTACTGGTGGAAAGCCTTAAACCAGAGAAGTGGAGGCAGTTACAGCTGCAGATTGATGGAATTACATGTTTAACAATCGCACATGGGCCATATGGTGTGTATCTCTGTAACCTAGTTACATTTCTAATTGTTGTTGACACTTTGCCAAAGCCTGTGCTATGGCTGTAGTGTGTGCCATTGTTGTGCTGGATTGCATTATCTTGATGTGTGTTTCTAATTTTTTTTCTTCTCCACATGTAAATGAGACAGGCAAAACATTAGAAACGCCTTCCCATATAATCCATTCCAATAAAAAACCCACCACAAAGCACATCCTCAAAACTTGTCCGGATAGCTGGGTCACTACACACACAACTAAAGAAACCTCAAGGACTGCAGGAATAACAGGTGTTTCTATTTTGCTATTCACCTATCTACTTTTTTACTCTGCATCTCTGATGAATCTTTAGTACAAAAATCTCCCTTTTAAAATGAACTTTGTCACTTTATAAATGCTTGTACGTCTTTTTTTCAAATTACTAAGCGACAGCGAAGTCCAAACACATCCCCATCTGTCCATTGCCAAGGTACTACAAGGTGTATTATCATCATACACCACAAGAGGGTGACTTGACTGAGCTCAGATCAGCTCAGATTTTGTGTGATGATTTTGAGCTTAACAATAAAGGATGAGGTTGTTCATCCGCAAAGAGAAGTTATTTCACTGACTGATGTTTATTTATCTATTATCTATCATCTCAAAGTTTCACATGTTACTGTATCACACCATTGCACAGTTTAGCACTGTATGTACTAGAAGTGACCTGTAAATGTGTCTGTGGTGCTCAAAAAAGAGTGTCTACAAATATTATCCTTTACTTATTTATAAAGACATTTTGTTCGTGTTAGTGTGATGATTTTTCATGACATCATACAGTAATTAGTATTTCTGTTGAAGAGATGGATAGTGTAGTTTTTTGGGAAACCTGCTGAGCATGTTGAGGTTCAAATCACAAGAACCCATTAAGCACTACTGCATCACAGATATTTATTTGTTTGTTGTTTTTTTTGTCAAGATGATACTAAACTTGGTGAGACCACTCCAAAACCACTAATGCACATCTACACATTGTAATTGTGTTTGATGCTCATTGAGGTACTTAGCCTTTACACTTAAGGAAAACCAGTGTTGATGGATATTGATCCAAGACAATGTGACGATGAAGCAGCTGCAGTCACCAAAAAATGGAGAGCTTTATCTGCATCCAATCTTTCTACAGATCTCCTGCCTGTACAAACCTGCTGACCCCACCACTTCCACCTTCTCCACACCGATCAGCTCAGGGGACACAGAGGCCGATGCCTCTGAAGAAGAAGCAGCTGTAGCAGTAGCCACAAGGTGATTTAGTTACACTGTTGAGATCCGAATGCTCTCCTGTATTGATCTTGGGACACATCAGTTTTCCCACTTCCTACATCCTCCTTTGAGATCACCCCTGCAGCACCTCTGACCCCAATTCTGATGACTCTGACAGCACTTCTCCATCAATACCGTCTTCTTTGTCTTCACATGTCAAGTCCTTTGAATCCAGAATATCACCACGGTCTGATTGACGCCACCGTATCACCATGTGTGTGCAGGTAGTCATTGATGAGCTCCAAACCATCTGTCAAATAAATGCTAATTATTAAAACTAACAACCAGCCATGCTGTTGATATTGTTTGATTCCAAGAACAGTGTAACAGAGATGTACTACAACTCTGGATTGAAATCTATCTACCCAACAGCCAGAAATAGAAAAATGTCCTCTGAATGTGAGGTTCATTAGTAGTGTGCTGACAGGGCGTTTGGTAGAATACATGTATTTTTCTCTGTATGTATCACATTTCCAGGCATATGATCGGTCAGCGAAAGGAAATGTCATGTCAGTCTTCAAGGTCACTAATAAATACAATCTTGATGAAGGTGACTTGCATCCGGAGGAAGTCGTTACTCTGAGCCACTCAAGGGCAGCAACACATGAAATTCACTGGAACAGTTTTATTTATTGTAATAAAATATATTTTATTGCTGTTGTTAGCTATTAGCTTAGCTGCATATGATGATCATCTAATGATCTTACATTTAAAATACACTTCACTACGATAGTTATGACTTTTGGTAGCTGAAAATGTTTTTTCATCTGCCAAAGTTGCCAAAGTTGAATGTAAAATTGTTTGCAACAACGTGAAGACAGTGGCATGTTGATACTTTGTTACTTTGTTTTAATAAGTGCTATGTAAATAAAAACATTATAAATAAATGCTGGTGTGACACCCCTGTCGGCAAAACAATATCCGTTGTTTTTTCCCTCCAAAACCATTTCATATGAATACAATACAATACAAATGTGACAATGCCGTGGTTAGGTAAGGTAAGGGGATGTCTACTCACTGCATCCTGGTGAAAAGGGATGAAGGAGAAGTCATTTTTCATCAATTCTTCATAATAAATTTCAGTCTTTACTAAAAATATGATGCACACTGTGCACTGTGCTAATGTTATCTAACTATTGAGTGTCTAAGGAGTAGTTAATGTCAAAGATTAATTGCTGCGTTGAACATCCTATAGGGACTTAAAGTTCATCTGTCACTGGTGAAAACTTGTTCTTTGTGGCATTTCAGACAATGGAACAAATTTGACAGCTAGTCTATACTTTTCATCTATGTCCAATGAGCAGTGTATTCCTTAATGTACTCAGTCAAATTTTGTGGTAAACTTCATACTCTGTATAAATTTAGTTGCAAACAGCCTTAAAATTGAATTTGAACTTCAGGTATTTAATCACAGCCATTGTTTCATGTTGGTTCCAATACGTTCTGGAGTGCAGACCCAAAACTACAGAAAATGCTCTAAATACTTATGAACTGCACTGTGCGTCTAATAAACCAATCTAACATTACATTTGCATTTCATTTCGTGGCTTGTTTTGATCATGATAATTATTCGGACTGGCTTTATCCAGGTGTGGTCAAACTCAAAAGTGGTAATAGGATATTTGGCCATGCATGTAAAGAGCAGAAATGAGCCACATGATCAATCACTTCTTGGCTGTCATTCACATCCGGATTGCACAAGTAAGACAAATAACGTCTACAATAACACCACTTTATCAAAAACATGGCTTGAGATCTAAAGGAAAGCGGTTGACTGGAGGAATGTATTTCTTGTCTTTAATGCATATCTTGGTGGATATAAAATACAGATGTTGTGCTGTTTAGACACAGATAAGTCTAGTAAAGACAAGAGGGGTCTCCTGCTGCAGTTTAAAGACAGTGTGACCCTGGTATGATGTTACAACAGTGCAGTGATTTCTCATTTGTGCTGTTGCGGTGGCAGATCAGGTCTGATGTGAGAGGTAGATGGCCACTGTATAAAGTTATGGCCCAGCATGCAATGAGGGAACTGCTGGGGAAGATCAAGAGGGTGGACACCATATGTTTTGAGCAGTCTGCCAAGTGGGGGAGAGGACATCACCTGTGACTGGTTACACATCTAAAAACAAGACTTATAGCTCCCACTCAAAACAGAGGAGGAGATGCGTTCACCCTTCACAAATCGTTCACAAATATAAACCACAAAAAGTACATGCTGAAAGCTGGAGCTGAGCCAGCGCTGCAGGGGAACATACATTTTTCTCCTGGCAGCCTGTCTTTACGCTGTCATATTCATGGTTGGGGTTTTTTCTCCTTGGTTAACTTTAACTCTGAAAGACTGTCCAGAATGCTAAGCTCCAATATCAGAGGTTCAAAGAGAAGAATAAAAATGAATTTTTAAGCAGAGAATCCCATCAGAGTCATTTAACTGGCCTTTTATTACAGCATTATTACAGGAACCAGAAACAGCATTCTGAACATTTTCATCTAAAAATTCCTAGTTTATTTGTTACCCTATTCTGGCTCTAGCTGTAATCACTGGTTTTGAAGGCAATGGTTTCTCCTTCCTGTGGCTTCCTTACAATGAACAATATTTCCTGCTGAAATATTTAGAAAACGTCTGCCAGAACTTGCACATTTACTGGCTGTGTTACATGTTCTAAGACACATGACTGCGTTTTTTACCAGCTCTTTCCATTCTGAAGCGCTAAGTGTTATTTATTAGTTAAGCATAACTCCTCTGCTAATTACAGTAGGTGAGTGATTAAAGATTTCCCCAGAGTTTGGATCTGCTGAACAGGCTTAAGCCTAATTTCTCCTCATGTTATTTTCATAAGCAGTTTGTGTCAGTGTTTGTGAAATAAACTGTGCCCCTGGGTAATATGCTTCAGTGACCAATGTTTACTATGTGTCTTTACAATGCCAGATTTTTCTTTCTGAGCTCAAGAGCAATTTATTGGAAACACAGCTCTGCACAAAATCAAAGCAGGGGGTCAAAATACAAGACTTTTCATCATGCAGTTTCCCTGTCATCTGTTGTTCTTGGATGTTCAAAGCATTGTTTTCAGCCATATACTTCTAATGTACATTCCATAGAGGAGGAGCAGGAGAGCTGACCTGCAG